CCCCAAAACCCCAAAACCCCAAAACCCCATAGTAAAGATTTTTATAAATTATGTTAAAGTGAATAAAATTTGGATATTCAATAGATAATTAAGAGATTTTCAATTTTTTTCTTCTTTCAAATAATGTTTCTGCATCCATCCTGAATTCCATGATAAATTTGGCTATGCAGGGTACCGATAAGAATAGCTATAGTTAGGAGTACTAAAATCCAAACCACAATTTTAATAGTTTTGTTCTATGTGCCACTCATCTTCATCAATTTTCTTAACTGAACTTGTCTCTCAGGGGTAAATGGAGGTGAGAACGCATTTAAAGGGTAGAAATTCAATGCAGGTCTGTACATGACACTTTTAGGGTTAGACCAGGCTTTGAATCCCTCATAACCACCATATCTGCCATAGCCACTGCCTCCAACACCACCAAAGCCGAATTCATGATTGATCATATGAATAAGTACATCATTTTAAACAAATGCTCCACTTGTGGTAGTATCCATAATCTTGTCTCTGTTTGGATTTCTGAAGTATTTACCGAAGTAGTAGACTGCAAGTGGTTTATCTTTGCTGTTAATAAAGTCAACAACCTCTTCAATCTTGCTGAATGTGAGAATTGGGAGAATGGGTCCGAAGATCTCCTCCTCCATCACTGGAGAGTCCTTTTTAGGGTTTAGGATAATTGTTGGTTCCACATATTTTATGTCCTTTTTCACTGTTCCTCCACAAAGAATCTTTCCTTAACTGGTCTCAATCAAATTTTTCAGTCTATCACAGTGCCACTCAGTAATAACCTTTCCCATATGTGGGTTTCCATTTGGATCATCTCCATAATGGTCTCTAAGTTTGCTCTTAATTCTGTCAACGAATTGATCTTTCACTGAATCATGAACCAAGACATAGTCTGTGCAGATGCAAGTTTGGCCAGAATTGTTAAATCTTGCAAATGAGATCTTAGCTGCAGCCAATTCAATATTAGCTGACTCATCAATAATGGCTGGGCATTTTCCTCCTAATTCAAGAATACAGGGAGTTAAAAATCTGCCTGCAGCTTCTGCTACTAGCTTACCCTTCTGGGTGGATCCTGTGAAACAAATAAGATCAAACTAGTACTTCTAGGCCTCAATTGCCACTTCTGGTCCTCCTTCAATGACGTCAAAGCAGGATTTATCCAAGTAGTTGTTGACCAGATCCTTGATGACTCTACTAGAGTGAGGAGCCAACTCTGATGGCTTAATGAGAGCACAGTTACCTGATGTAATTGCCTAGCATAGTGGCTTTAGGGTGACGACGAAGGGATAATTCCAAGATCCATAAATCATCACGACTCCTAGTGGCTCGTATCTAATTTAAGTACTACTAGGGGCAAACATCATAGGTGTATCTAGGCTAATGTCCTTAACAAACTATATAGATATAAAAAATAGAAATAAATTACTTCGTCAACATGACTTAAACTAAACTCTATATCCCAGAGGCAAGGTTGAATTGAAGTAACTTCAGTGACAAATGGCGATTTACCTAGATCCTTCTCGATTGCAGTGGTCATTTGAATTTTCATTTCCTGGATTCCAGTCAATAGTTGTCTCAGTTATTGTTTTCTCCATTCTACTGGCTTAGTCACACCTGAAGCGAAGGCTTTTCTTAATTTATCTAGAATTGAGATTAAAGTAATTGAAAATATTTTACTAATCTTGGGGAGTATTTCCTCTGCCATAATATCTTAGATGATACAAATTAAAGTATTTTTCTAAATTGCTTTATCACAAATCTCTATTAATACTTAGTATGCGGGGTTTTGGGGTTTTGGGGAGATCGGAAGAGCCACGTCTAG